TTATTTTTTAACCATATTTTTGAAATTTTTCACTTGTTTGTGAAGTTTGGGTTTTTCAAATTTGGCTTTTGGAGCTTGCATTTGGGTGTTTTCATTGCTTTATTTCCATTAGTTCATCCATTTTCAAGGGTTTTTATTCTCTATTAAGGTATGATTTCTACTGTTTTGATTCATCTTCTTCCTCATTTGAGAACTTCAAACCCTAGGTTGGGCTTTAATGGTAGATCCTCATTGTTAGTTCTTTTTGCTCATATTTTGTGTTTTATGATGTCGATTGATGTTGATTTGAAGCTTTTTCATCTTGAAATTGATTATTTGCTCGAACATTTGACACCACCATTGTTGGATACTTTTCTCTTTCTTAGGTATTGTTCTTAGTAGTACGATTTCTTTGTGTTTCATTCCCTTGTCATTTGGCCTATGATGTTCATGAATTTATGTTTACTTGTTGTTAACTTTTGCCATTGATTTTTGTATTGAATGCTTCTTAGTTCTTATCATGACTTTCTTTGTTGATTCTACACTAGTCATGGCATTAGTTTGTTAAGCTAATTCTTATTCATCTATATTAGGGTTAATCTTGTGATTGAAATTCTTATGCTATTCATGATGATACTTTGGTGCTTACTTTATTTCAAATACATTGATTGAGCTTGTTTCTCCCATGAATAGCTTATGCTTGCCCTTGTTTCTTGTGGATGGCTACATTGATCCCCTTGAATCCAAATTACCTTAGTTTAGCATAGTGTTTTTCTTTTATTCCTTTTCTTTATTTTTCATGAAGTTACTAACGTTCTATTTTGTGGAGTTTTTCTCTTTCTACTCTTATTCTCTCACGTTCTAGGTCCTTTGTTGGAGCATATGACACAAGGAAATGGTGAGAGCTTCCTTGTTGTCACATTTGTTCTTTTTAGCTCGGGATCGCTTGGTGAGACCTTTCTATTTTCTTCTCTCTTTTATCATTTTATTTTCTTTTGTGCATAGTTTAGGTTTTAGCTTAGGTTTGAGGATGTATGCTTTTAACACCTAGTGTGTTTGGGATCGTTGACATTGTGGTCGAACGATCATTGTTTGTCGATTGGGATTTTATTGCTTATGCTTACTTCGTTTTAGCTTTTCATATCCCTTTTTCCTTTTACTTTTTCTTTAAAACAACTTCCTTCAAGGTAATTTTTGCAAAAATGTGTTTTTCTATCTCTTTGTGGTTGGACAATTCATTTTGGTCTTGTGTTTTTGAAAGACTTCCTTCTAAGTGGTACATGTGTGCATGATTTGAGAGTGTTGGTGGTTGATTCTAGGATATTACATGCTAAGGTAGACGGTTTAAGAACTTTAGGGTCCATGAAGCCTTAGTTCATTGAAAGTGGTAAGATGGTGTTGTTTTTCATAGTGGATTTGATACCTTTGAGTTAGTATTTGTTACAAAAATCCCGTGTGAGGTATATTGTTCAAGCCATCATCATCTTTGTTGAGCGATGCTTTAGATCCTTGGCTATGCATGTTTTAATATTTGGTTTGTCCACTAGCTCCGAAGATCAAGACCGAGCTACTTTAGGGGAGGAAAAAGGCTCTTTTTATTTTCTTTTGTGTTCCTTTTATTTAGTTACTTTCTTGTCTTCTTTTACATTCACCCTCTTGCTACCCCTTTGAGCTTATTTCCATTTATTCAGTTACTAGCCACATTACAAGCCTATCGACCTTTACCCTTAGTTTTGAAGCTAACTTTGGTTGGATGCTTGTTTTGTCATTCATATGGATTTATGATGGTTTGTGTTCAAAGTGTTTGGCAAGTTTGTGATATGGGGTTCTTATATGGAAGAAGCACAAGAAAAGTAATGTGAAAGGGTGCAATAAGTTGAAATTTGAGTTTGGAAAAAAAAATGAGCAAAAGTTAAAATGAAATGAGAAATGAAGATAGAGAAAATAATGATCAATTGTGTGAAATGTCATGAGTTGCACCAATGATATCTTTGTTATGATCATTTTCCGAGTTTAAGCTTGAGGACAATGATATCTTCGCTTTGGTGAGTTAAAGTTTGGTGTATTTATTGAATAAGATTGGGGGAGATGGAATTTTTGTTTGATAATTGGTGTCTTCTTAAGTTTGTTTTTGAGAGATGGCCACTCTTTCGCTTCACTTAGGAGTTACCACCAAATTTTCAAATTTACACCCCCACCTATACCCTAAGCCATGACATTACAACCTTGTAAAGTCCTTTAGACCGTAGAGGGTTTGAGTCTACATCAGTGGAGGGCGATGGTTTTCAAGCTTATAAAGAGGAATGTGCATAGCTAAGACGTCGGGATAACCTTCTCATGTTTTTCATTTCTTTATATTTTTCTGGTTCCTTCGAGGAATCATGAGGAGCTAACTTGAGGGTTGATTTGAAGCTAGTGGAGAGAACGCGGTAAGACTAGTGGGGACGAGGATGGATTGAGTCTCCTAGAGTTCTCTATGCTTAGCATGTTCTATGTTTCAATCAACCATTGACATCTTATAGCATGCATACACATATTATTTAAGAAGTCTCTCATTCATTGGCATTTGCTTCCTCTACAATTGTCCAACTCAAGAGCTCTTTGTGCTTTATTTTCTTGATTTTGATTACATTACCTTGACTTTGGTTGCTAGAGTTATAGGTTATGCTCTTTTGGAAATCCTTACCAGACCTCACTCGTCCTCATTGGCGACTTTGGGGTTTTAAGGGCTTGTTGTAGCTAAAAACAACCATGATTCCTGCGTTAGTGAGTTAGTGTATATTCCCACTCCTCTTTCTTTCTTCTCTTTATTTGAATAAGCTATCATGTGAGTGTCATTCCCTTTCTTTTTCATTTCTCTCGCTTTTGTTTTGCTTGAGGACGAGCAAAAGTGTAGCTTGGGGGAATTTGATGACTGTCATTTATGGCACTCATATATATGGTAGCATTTTAGGACGTTTTCCTTCTCTTTTATAGCTTTTCTCTTAAAATAATGCATTAGTTTCGTTCATTTATACTTTGGTTTTGTCGTTTCCTTTATTTTGTGATTTCTTATTATTTAAGGGTATCTTCGTCTTTTCTACTTTACTCGCATTACATTCTTTTATTGTAGGTCTTGTTCGGGGCTCGAGATATACTTTGGAAGGTTCTCCAAGTATTTTGGATGCTCGGGACAAGACCTCATATCATTTGGTTTGCTAGAGTTCAACATAAGAAGCAAGCTCCTACTCTTGGCATTAGCGCTCTCGTGCATCACCCTCATCACATGTCTTGGTCATGAACACGCAAAAATGAAGATTTCAAAGCTGATCCCCTCGTGAGAATCACGTGAGAGCGTCGACCACAGGGATGCTTGGGCGCACAATTTAGGTGTGTAGGTGCTGCTAGCAAGCGCCGCGTCACGACATTGAAGCACTGCGCCACTCCAGTTTTTGCTGCACCACGACAAGCAGCAACGCACCGCGGCATCAGCGTCGTGTCACGGCAAGTCCACCGCGTGATGACAGGGAACACTGTGGCATGGAAGAGGGCACCGTGGCACGACAACCTCATTTTATGCCTGTTGCTTGTGCGTGCAGACACTTAATTGCGTGCGTGAAGACCCCCTTTTGCGTGCGCACCTCTCGGTGGCTGAGCCTAGACTTCCTATTACTATATATACTTCTCTTCTTTCTACTTTTGGGGGATGACATAATTCTAGTACATTTTTAAGATTTAATAGATTTAGTAGAGAGAGAAACACTTGGATATTCAATTTGTACATCAATTTACTTCAATCAAGCTAGGATTTCCCCTTAATCAATGATAATTAGTGAGATTTCTTTCCTTTAATTCTTCTCCTTTGGTTTGATCTTTAGTTTTTGATGTTTGATGGTTATTTTGCAAGATTTAAATTCTTGATCAGTTGCTTAATCATTTGAATTTCTCTTTGATCTTGATTTTCTCTTTGATTGGTTGAATATGATGATAATCATGATTAGCCTTGTTTTGTTTCTTGAATTCATGATAATTAGTGAGTTAATTTCTTAGCTAGGGTGAAGGGAAGCATGTTGATTTGTAGTTCAATGCTGATTTGGGGATTTTGATCAACATATTGTTTTAATTAAATTGATTGATGAATTTGTGCATGTGTTTAGCATAGGAGGATTGATCAACCTTGAATTCTAAACTTGATTGCATTGATAATCTTGATGACATGACCAATTAATTTGAGATTGTTAATTTTCATCTTGTTTGATTTGTATTCTACTAATTTGTCATTCATAGAGGAAACCTAGCATGGCAATTAGTCTAGATAGCCTTTTGAACACTTTGAATGCATTTATCATTATTCCTTGCAACACTTGTTGGCTCAACTTACCCCAATTTAGCACCTCTATTATGAAAACATTTGGAACCTAACCCCTAGCATCTTTGTTATTGATTTTACCTCTTTTATTTGCTTACTTTAGTTAGTTTGCTTGACTAGGCATTCATACACACTTTCGAAATAGCTTAACACATAGACTATAGTAATTGACCCTTCATTCCTTGTGGATCAACTTGGACTTGCCCCTATACTAGGAGTAGGTTTGGGTATAAATTTTGGTGACTTGGGAAGACTAGCCTAATGACCCTAGTTTCACCCCATGTTAGTGAATAATGGTGCTTACTATTTGAGGGAGGAAGCTGAGTTATGGTGGGCCCAAAGAAAGGATGAGTTGCGGAAAAGACCAAACTTTGGGTGGGATAAGTTCAAGGAAGCCTTGAGGGAGAAGTTTTACCCTTCCTACCTAAGAAAGCAGAACTACATGGAGTTTACCAACCTGAGAATGGATAGCATGTCTATCAATGAATACTACAACAAGTTTGAGTTGATAAGGTTTGCCTCGGAAGTAGTCCCTACCGAAAACATCAAAGCTTAGAGATTTGAGCAAGGCCTAACCTTGACCCTCCAAGGGAAGCTAGGGGGATTGACCTTTTAAACCTTAGATGAAGTCTATGGCCGTGCAGTCAACCTGTACGGAATCAAGGGGAGGGAGATGGAGCATGTTGGAGAGAAAAGGAAGAACTCGGACTCTTTTCACGGGGGTGAAAAGAGGCATAATCCCAATAGTAACAACCATGGGAATTTTGGATATAGGAGGGACAATAAGGGGATCTTTGGAAAAGGGAATGGGGGCCAATCGTCCAATGCTAGAGGGAATGGAAACCAAGGGGGTGAAAGACCCAAGAGGAAGTACATATGTAGGCGGTGTGAGAAAGACCACCTAGGGAAGGACTGCGAAGGGAAACCGGTAACTTGCCGTTATTGTCAGAAATTGGGACACCGTGAATACGAGTGTTACAAGAAAGAGGTTGACGTTAAGTCAGGGAGGGTGAAAGAGTCTAGTGTTCCTAGCAAACCATCTCAGCCTAGTGGACCTACACCCAAGGTTGGAACCAGTAGCGTTGCAGGAGGTGCCCCAAAGGGTCGTGTGTTCGTGATGAACAGTCGTGAGGCTGAAACTGTTAATGATGTGGTAATTGGTGTTTTCCTTACAAGTTATTTGCTTGTGAAATTTTTTTTTCATTCGGGGACATCCCATTCCTTTATTTCTAAGAGAATAGTTGAAAGTCTCAGGTTAGTGAGTCTTGAGTCAGTTTCTCTTGATGTGTCTATTCCGTCTGGGGAAGTGAGGAATTGTTCCAAGTTGTTTAAGATGTACCTATTTCCAATTCTGGGGTAGAATTTCCGCCAAACTTGATCGAGTTTGATTTGAGGGATCTCGATGTGATTCTGGGTATGGAATGGTTGGGAAGGTACGAGGCAAAGATTGATAATGCATCTAAAAAGGATACTTTGACTAGCCCAAGTAAGACCAGAGTGGTGTATAAAAAGGAAGGGAAAAGTTCAGGGTTGAGAATTACTTCTGCAATGCAATTACAGAAGATAGTTAAGAAGGGTTGTTCTCTGTTTTTGTGTAATGTTCAAGAGATTGAAAGTGAGGAAAAGAAGGGTGATGGAAGTATTCCTGTTGTAGAAGAGTTTCCTGATGTATTTCCAAATGAGATTCCTGGTATGCCACCAGTAAGGGATGTTGAATTCACTATCGACCTAGTGTCTAGTACTTGACCTATTTTTAAGGCTCCATATAGGATGGCTCCAGCTGAGATGAAAGAGTTGAAGACTCAGTTGGATGATTTATTGGAGAAAGGTTACATTTGACCTAGCTCCTCACCTTGGGGAGCTCCAGTGTTGTTTGAAAAGAAAAAGGATGGAAGTATGAGGTTATGTATTGATTATCGAGAGTTGAATAAGGTGACAGTGAAGAATTACTATCCATTACCAAGGATCGATGATTTGTTTGACCAATTGAAAGGGGCTGGTGTGTTTTCGAAGATAGACTTGAGATCGGGTTATCACCAGTTGAGAATTGCGTAGCAAGATATTGCGAAGAGTAGTGCTTTTAGGACCCATCGTGGTCATTATGAGTTCATAGTTATGTCGTTTGGTTTGACCAGTGCACCAGCATTGTTCATGGATTTGATGCATAGGATTGTCAGGCCATACTTGGACAAGTTTGTAGTGGTGTTCATTGATGATATTTTGATTTATTCAAAGGATGAAGAGGAGCACAAGGAGCATTTGAGGCAAGTGTTTTCGTGTTTGAGAAAGCACCAGTTGTATGCAAAGTTTTCAAAGTGTGAGTTCTGGATGGGTAAAGTAGCATTTTTGGGCCATGTGATTTCCAAGAAAGGAGTCTTAGTGGACCCAAGTAAGATTCGAGCTGTCATTGATTGGCCAACCCCAAAGAGTGTTTCGGATGAGAGATGTTTCTTGGGTTTGGCAGGCTATTACAGAAGGTTTGTGAAGGATTTTTCAAGGATTGCGAAGCCCATGACAAGTTTGATGAAAAGGAGCATAAGTTCTTATGGACTCAAGAGTGTGAAGAGGCGCTCAAGACCTTGAAAGAAAGGTTAACCACAACACCTGTGCTGGCTTTGCTAGATGGAAGTGATCTATATGAAGTGTATAGTGATGCATGAAGGTTTGGACTGGGATGTGTTTTGATGCAAAGTCGAAGAGTGATTGCGTATGCTTCAAGGAAGTTGAAACCTCACGAAGGGAATTATCCAACCCATGATTTGGAGTTAGCTGCAATAGTGTTTGCTTTGAAGATTTGGAGGCATTATTTGTATGGGGTGACTTGTAGAATTTTCACGGATCATAAGAGTTTGAAGTACATTTTAACCCAAAAGCATTTGAATGGGAGGCAGGGGAGATGGTTGGAGTTTCTAAGTGATTATATGTTGGATATTCAATACCATGAAAGAAAGGATAATGTGGTGGCAGATGCTTTAAGTAGGAAGTCTGAACATTCAATGAATGTGATGGTAGTGCCAGACCAGCTATGTGTGGAATTTCAAAAGTTGAATTTAGAAGTAATGGAACATGGAGAAGTAACTAGGATGTTGAATGCATTGGTGATTCAATCATCCATTTATGATGAGATACGGGAAAGTTAATTAGAAGATGAGAATTTGAAGGCGATAATATAGAAGATCGATGAAGGGCAGGTGTTGGATTTCACCATTGGTGATAAAGGGAGTATTCGTTTTAAGGGAAGATGGTGTGTAACCCAGAGTCGTGGAGATTTCAAGCAGATATTGATGGAGGTACCCCATAACTCTCCTTATCCAATTCATCTTGGAGGGGATAAGTTGTATAAGGACATGAAGAAGACCTTTTGGTGGCCTAATATGAAAAGAGAAGTAGCTGAATTTGTGGCCAAGTGTTAAAATGTCAGAAACTGAAGATTGAGCATTGTAGGCCTCAAGGAAAGGTCCAATCCTTGGAGGTGCCCAAATGGAAGTGGGATTCGAATTCTATGGATTTTGTTGGAGGATCGCCTAAGACCAAGGCCAAGAATGACATTATTTGGGTAATAGTGGACAGGTTGACGAAGTCAGCAGCATTTATACCCATGAGAAGTACTTGGACTATGGATCAGTTGGGAAGAGCTTGTGTGAAGTTTGTGGTGAAGTACCATAGGGTACCCCACAGATATCATTTCAGATAGAGAATCAAGATTCCTATCTAACTTTTGGCAAAGTTTGCAAAAGGCGATGGGAACGAAGTTGTTAATAAGCATGGCGTTTCATCCTGCGACGGATGGTCTGACTGAAAGAGCAATTCAGACATTGGAGGATATGTTGAGAGCTTGTGTGATGGAGTATCCAGGGTCTTGGGAAGACCACTTGGATTTGATACAGTTTTCTTACAACAACAGCTATCATGCAAGCATTGGAATGGCACCGTTTGAAGCTTTGTATGGTCGGAAGTGTAGAATCCCAATTTATTGGAATGATATAAGTGAGACAATGGTACTTGGGCTTGAGATGATAAAGGATATGGTGAAACAAGTAAAATTGATCCAGGAAAAGATAAAGGCAGCTCAAGATCGACAGAAAAGTTATGCTGATTTGAAAAGAAGGGAGGAGGAATATGAAGTGGGAGAGAAAGTTTTGTTGAAAATTTCACCCATGAAAGGTGTAATGAGGTTTGGGAAGAAGGGAAAGCTGAGCACGAAGTACATAGGGCCATATGAGATCGTTCAGAAAGTGGGAAAAGTGGCATATAAGTTGGATTTGCCTAATGAGTTGGAAAGGGTTCACAATGTGTTCCACGTGAGTCAAATTTGAAAGTATATTCTTGATGTGACACATGTGTTGCAATCGGAAACCATTGAGATGGGATAAGAATTTGACCTATGAGGAAAGACCAGTGATGATTCTGGATTCTAAAGTGAGAAGTACAAGGAACAAGGATGTGAGTATTGTGAAAGTGTTGTGGTCGAACCTGAAAACTGAGGAGCCTACATAGGAAGCTGAGGCTGATATGAGGAAACGTTACCCAGAGCTGTTTGCCTAAGGTTAGTGGACGAATTACGGGGGCGTAACTCCTTTTAAAGGGGTAGAGGGTGATAGAGTTTCGTGCGTTTGTCTTTCGTCTCATTTTTGAGAGATTTTGAGTCTTTCTTGAGTTGGTTAGAGTCTTGAGTCAAGTTAGGATGAGCATGAACCAATAATTTAAAATGATTTCGTATTTTGGCTAAGTTTCGAGACAAAAATTCTTTTAAGGGGGGTAGACTGTAATGCCCCGCATTCTTGATAGGTATTTTCTAACTAATTAATTAATTATTATTTTCTAAAAAGGGTATTTTAGTAAATTATTTTACTATTTGAATTTGGAAGCCAAAATGATATTTGAATTTTTGCACCAAAATTATTTAAAATTTAATTATTATTTTTATATTTTGGATAAGATTTATTATCCATTTATTCTATTTTAAAAATCGGATTATTTATATATATTTTGGATATTATAATTAAGAAAAAAATATAATTTATTATTTAATTAGGAGGTCCGAAAATTTCTAATGATTGGCTATGATTTTCGGATTTTCCTAGTGTGGAAAATCTGATTTTCTTAGTTAATTTATTTAGTGAATAATTGGTACTCTCTTAATTAATTATTTTATACAATATTTATTATTTACACAATTATTTTTAATACCTTAAGTCTAGCAAAATTATTCCCTAAATACTACATAAGTGGTTTGAAAATTTAAGCTATGGAAGCTCAAAAATCTCGACCACCATGGTTGAATTTTGGGTGATTTATTTTGGTAAATTGTATTTTTAATTATCTCCCATAAATTTATTATTTTTCCTTAATTCTTATTTCCCATCTCCTAAATATTTGAACATCTTATTTCCCTACCTTATTTTATCCTTGATTATTCCCCAAGCAAACCCCTTTTGCCATATTATTTTCATGACAACATACCTTCCTTAAATTAATTATTCTTAGTCTCCTTAATCTTAAAATTTTCATAATCCTTTAGCTCTCTTCTCCAATTAATTCATCAATTATTTTTACCATAATTCTTCCTACATTCTCCTACCATAATTCTTGCATGAGCTAGCCTATAAATACCCCTTGATTTATGGCTAAAAACTCAAACCAAAAACCCTTTAATTTCTCTCTTAATTCTCTCTAATTCTCCTCACTCTTTCTCTTGTTCTTGAGCCAACCACCACCACCAAACACCACCTGCCACCGCCAGCTGCCACCAGCCACCACCTCCGACACCGACCTCTGGCAGCAGCCATATGCCGGCGTGCTGCTGCCCTCCTTGCCACCACCTTCTTCTTCCTTTTTCCTTGGTTTTCTACCTTTGCTTCTTTTCTTCTCTTAATTAATTAATTATTATTATTATTATGATTGGGGATCTATAAAAATTATTATGAGTAGTTTTAATTAAATAAAATTAGATTTTTATTCATGTTTATGAAAAATAAATTATAAGGTTCAAGTACATATATTTGGGAGTTTTTAATTTAATTTTTGTGATGATTTGTTAACCTTAATTTATTAAGGTTTTATTTATTTGTAGGGTGTGTTTAATCAAAGTTCTTGAAGTTCGTTTATGTGTTGCTAGCAAGGATCAAAGGTACGTTTAGGTGGCTAGATACCTTTGAATGTAATTTGTTTAAATAACATATTTTCATATGATTTTTAAGATGATTGAATTAAATTAAATTAAATTATGATTTATGAAATAAAAACATGTTTGAATACTAGGTTTTGATAAAGCAATTGAAGGATTGATTTTTATATCATGTTTTGAATGATAAATTATTTATCATGTTTAAAAAAGTTTTGATTTTTGAAAGCATGTTGAATTTAATAAAAGGAGTTTTGAATTGTATTGGATTTATTAAATCAAAAAGGATATATTGAATTATTATCATTAGAGCTTTACAAGCATGTTGATAGTAATCTCACTATGCGGATTTGGTTGATAAGATTATGGACTTTGTATGACCTAGTCTTTCCTCCAAAATAGCCTTACAAAAGGAGACTAGCTTGGGGGGTGTGCACACTTGGGTGAGGAATTGGATTTAAAAAGAAGAATTGGTTTTATTAATTATTTTACTGAAATATTGGATCATTGGATTTGGTTTCTGAATAATGAGTTTGGAATTATTGGATTAATTATTAGAAGTGATTTTAAAAGCATGTTTGCAAATAAATTGAGTTTACTTATCTTGCACTTATCGTACTTA